GTCTCCTAGCTCCCAACGCACAGTCTTCCACATAATCCAGTCCACTGCAATTAAGAATATCATCGTTGGCGATAATAGGCAGTCAGCCAGCTTGTCTCACTCCTGTATTCACTTCAAACGCCTCGCTGAGTTTCCGTTATGGTTTACCTGACATGGCATTCTCATATAGCCAGCCAGCTGTTGAATGAGGTTGATAAAGACTTGGGCACTGCACCCTGGAGTGTTGAAGTAGTTTCCAAATTACTTTCCGGTCAACGCTGGACTGTCGAAGGCCTTTTCGAAGTCGATGAATTTGTTGAGGTAGAGAGAGGTTTGACTGCCATTCCCTGCTTTATTCTGTTAGGTGATGACGGTGCGTAGAGTTGCAATTTGATCAGCACCACATCATTTGCATTTCCTAAATTCCTCCAGCTTGTTCTAAGCGGAATTGTGAATCCAGTGCATCTTTCAATCTGTCCAGGATGATGCGACTTAGTATTTTACTTGGCGTGGACAAGATTTGCATTATTCCACGCCAGTTACTTCTTGCAGAATGATGCGTCGTTTGCCCTTCTTTGGCAGCTTGACATGCTAGCCAGCCTTTCTTCCAATCATTATGTACCTTCCTTCCAAACCTTTAGCAATAATATCGTGAACACATCTTTAACAGACTCTGGTGTCCACTGGTAGACAGTTCTGTTCGTGCTTCTGTTGGTGTTTCCTGGTGAGTTGCAGGTGATGGTAGATTCAAGAATCCTTTAAAGTGATCAGCCCATTGCTTGATTTGTTTCTCTTCCTTGGTAATCACGCTCCCCTGAGCAAGGTTGATTTCATCATCTGGGTTGATCTCTTTTCGGATAGAGACCTAGTTGTCTGATATAATATCCTTAGATCTCTTTTACCTGCAGCCAGCCAGTTCGTCGTAGAATTGTCTTTCCTAGGACTCTTCTTCACTTCTTTATTCAGTGCAGTGTACACTGAACTCAGCTCCTCCTTCTGTTGGCCACCTTTGCATTGAGTCATCTTCTGCTTTACCATTCTCCTCTCCTCTCCTCGAACAGCTTCCAAGTAAGTGTCCGTTGAGATCCTTTCCTTGTCTTGTATCTTCCCCCTTCCTAGAACGGTTGTACATGTCTCCTTGAATATCGACTTCAGAGACCTCCAATGTTCTTCCACTCAGTTCTCCTCAGTGATGCCACGTAGTGTCTCCAACTTTGCTCTGATCTGTAGTGAAGACATCCCGTGTGGTTTTGTCCTTCAGTTTCTGAATATTGAGCATGAATGACAGTGGCCATTTTCCATTGGTATTTAGGGATTTCAGCTTCACCTTGAAAATAGGCTCCTTGAACTAGATGATGATGGTCTGAGACAATATCCCCTGCCCTTCTCGACTTTGTGTCCAGCAGGCTAGTTGCGTCTCCATTTTCTTGAGGTCGAGATGAAATCTATCTGGTTTGTGATGTATTCGTCAGGCAAAAACATGTTACCTTGTGTGTGTGCTTGTGTTTGTACACGCTGTCCCGATCACGAAAACCATTGAAAGCACAGAAGTCTGCGATTAGTTCTCTGTTCTCCTTCATTTCACCGAGCGACAGCCTGTCGATCCATGATGAGTTCTCTTCGTGTTTTATATGCTTCCAGTTTGACATCCATATCACCCATAAGGACTTTGGTGTCATCATTCAGGATATTGTCCATTACTGTTTGTAGTTGTCTGTAAACTTCTTCCTTCTTCTGTTGTTCCGCGTTGTTTGTAGCACTATGCCTAGCACTGGATACTTGTGACTTTCCTTCCTTTCTTTTTAGTGGAATCTTGTTGTCATGATCCTGCAGGAAGGAATGGGTTCCCAAAGCATTAGGGCTCTGGCTGCCACTAGTAACTTCATGATAGGCACTCACTGCCTCAATGTGCTGGTGGTTGTCATCTTCGTGGATGACCAGACCGGAGTAAATTACTGACAAACCAGTTGACAATTTTGACAGTCCACATTCATTCCATTTGCTCTAACGGATTCCCAGGACTGCTATATCATATCTTCTGACTTCGTTGGCTAGATGGGTAGCCTTCCCAGCCAGCCTCGTACATTGTACGCACATTCCACGTCCTCATTCTTATTCTTGCTTCCATCGAGAGAAGACACATCTGCTGGCTGGCAGGTTGACTGGCTTTCACCAGCCAGCCCCCTGTGTCATTTCGCCTTTCCGATTCCAGCGAAGAATAATTTTTGTATTTTTAGTATTTCTCTTGTGCATTGAAGTTTCTGTAGCAGTTTGACTAGTTCTGTGGAGTAGGGTCGCTAACCCTATGCCAAACCCTCCCTCTTTACCCGGCCTTCGGACAAGCTACTAAACCAGGCGAGGTTCAGTGTGATGTTGCAGACTACATATTCATATGCAGAGCTTCACCACTGACTGACCGATTACTTCTCTGTATGATGTCTCTGTCCAATTTGGAACGATGTATATTTTCCGTAGACCAAAAAATGTCAAAATTTTGCTTTCTAACAAAAATCTACTCTATGGGCGAAGACACGCACCCTATTAGTAGCACTTTAGTCTAGAGAGTGATAGGATGAGCGCACAAAGTTCAAAAGGATTGATAAAAGTGAACACAGAGTATGAAACATCTCACTGACAAATGATGATTACGATCGTGCCCATTAAGTTTTCTACAAGGTGTTTTCATTATATGTAAGACTTTCACAGTACAACATTTGTCAACCTGTCTGGAAGACTTTTTTGTATCTTAGAAAGCAGGAGCTGGTTTGTTGGTTCTCAATGTGTAACGGCAAAAGGCAAGATACGGCAGCCAAGGTGTATTCTCAACTGATCAAACCGCTATTTATGTATCTACATATATATATTTTTGTATTCTTTAGAAAAGTGACAACAGCAGATTGAGCGCAGAAATCATGCATTCCTTTACTTCGATTAGCAACTCATCATCATCATCGGCTGACTTACTCTACAGTAATATATATAGTCGTGTTTTCCATCAAAATTGTTTTAATCAATCAATCAAGTGGTTATTTTAGTTAATCAGTTTAAGGCATAGAGGGTGGTGGGTTGGTGAAATGAAGTGGTTTAAGGTCATCAAAGCATCAACTAATTAATAGATCTTATTAACAAGATATCCAAATCTTAAAAGACGGGTGGGAATTAATTAATTATGGAATTCATGATAAGTTGATTCTTAGGTGGCGTTAGCAACAAGTTATCACATAATCAAGCAGTTTCTGAATTAGCAATGATGACTAGGAAGAAGAATAGGATGACTCAGAAGAATTACGTAAAATACAAACAAACAAGTTATTAGAATTAGCTAGAATTTTAAAGATTAACATAGTCATAAGATGGTTACAAGGGGAGGGCAGGAAATCGTTTTTAAAAACTTCATACATATTATGCAGTTGGCCATGGCAAAGGAAAGGGGTTGTAAAAAGAGGGACACACAGATTTGGCTTTTTCAGACGAATTTCGATTGCCACTACTGTGTGCTTAGATGTCGTACTCGTTGGCCATGTAAGAGTTTGGGTGAAATACGATCGATAAATAACTTTAAAAGCTTTGTTAGAGTGAGTCAACCTGATGTCCAGTCATTGTCGACGATGAGATGAGCTAATATTCACTTGCGTATAACAGCTTTATTCGGATCATTGCCGAACGAAGATGGGAGGTGTTCAGAAATTCAACGATGAACCTACCTGATCGTATACACAATGTAACTAGCTTCGCACAAACAGTTAAACTAGTAAATATACATGGAAGAGGCGATACAGGGTTGTCTCTTTATTTCTTGAACTAAGTATTGGTCGACTAGTGAATGTACAGCATAGCTTAGCTGGGTTGATAGCTCTTCTCAGACGTTGTAATAAGGTCTCGCCATTGACATCACCCGTGAATTTCAACTTTAGGAAGACTGATTTTATGGGAACAGTCGGCAACTCCGACTATCTACTTTCTCAATTCATGTGTTTGTTCATCAATTTAGTTCGATATCCGTTTCTACTTAGTAGATCACGAATATTACTGAGTTCTTCATTCATCAGTGTCTCATTTGAACAGATAACTAGCTAGACCGGTGAATCAGACACCTAACCAGACTACGTTTGGATTGTAGAGGTAGGTACGAAGCTCAGGAAGTGAGTGTATTGTCCATTGGAAGAAGGTTTTCTGTGCAAACATCTACATATTGTCCCGTCTGTTCGTTTAGTCATCAGGACGTTCAAAAAGGAGGTGGAGGCATTTTCTTCTTCTTCTTCCTTGGTGAAGCTTATTCCAGGATGTGATTTATTGAATTTATCCAATATGTCCTTAGTCTCATTTTCTTTTTTAACAGCTATGTTATGTATGCCTGCCTAGCTACCAACTTCCTCAACAGACGGGAAATGTTAGCTAACTGACGTAGGGCATATCAGGTTAAAAAAGAGATAGCTAGTGGTGGTGGTAAGAAGAAAATATGTCTTCATCATCAGTCAATGCAATCCACAACAGGTAGTTTAAGCCAGCCAGCCACGTAGGAAGGTGTAGACTTCTTGACTGACTGTCTGGTTGGGGTCCTCAGGATGGTGGCGATCGTTCTCAACGGATGGCACAAATGCATCCATTCCTGATTTATCGTATTCAATAAAACTATATTACTCTTTCATATTACTATTCTTTTTGCCTCATCTCTCTGTTTACTGTCTCTATTTTGCACCTTTTTTTATTTTTTTCTCTTGTTTTGTGTGCTAAGTGAAGTGTGGCGATTCGAACTGCTGCTGCTGCTGCACATCTATACAAAGTTCTACGTTGGAACTAGTCAGTTAGCCAGATACTACACAAACATATGTGTATATGAATACAAAATTGATTAACACACACACACACACATTTCGTCTAATCACAACTTTTATTTTTAAATCCTAAAATACAATTGACTGGTTTCGAGAGAAAAAAAACAAAAATGTACAAATTTAATCGCTAAAAAGGTCTTCTAATCATACATTCAAGCATCAGTCAATATCCATCAATTCATCAGATCAACTTCGATCCTCCAAAGCACGTGACAATTCTTCATAGGCTTCAACAGCAATCTGAGCTTCCGCTTTATCAAGTTCTGTAGTAGCACTGGATAATTCAGATTGTGCTTTTGACATTCCTTCTTTAGCAGCTTGAATATCCAGTTGGTCAAGAGCGGCGGCTTCTTCAGCAAGAACTTGAATAGATGAATCATTGTTAACGGTTACAATACCACTACTGACTAGAAATGAACAACAAAAGAGAGAGAGAGAGAGAATTGAGAAGACTCAATATTAACTAAGTTTATTAGAAAATGCTATTGTGTAAAAGCTTTATATATAGGTCAAAGGAAGAAGAATTTACAATAAAGAGTGTTTTAGTTCCTGTAACTATATATCTGTGCCAATATCGGGCCTTACTTCTTTTTCCCTTGATGCAGTGTAAACAATCTAGTGATATTTTAACAGCAGAAGGCAGGAAGGACACTGAGGCTAAGGTATGTTTTCAACTGATCAAATAGCTATTTATACATATGAAATAGAACGTTCAAATATACACAAATATAGTATATCATTCTGTTGCTCATGCAGTATTGAACTGTGGGAATAGTAGTATATGTGAGAATAATATTCCGTTGGAACATATTTTGTATCACACCACCACAAGTGTATGTGTAACAGTGTTTAAGCATCTAAAAAAGTGAACATGTTATCAATGAACTGACGATAAGGATGAAACATGGTACACACAAGCTTACAGAACAGATATCGGTTACAATTTATTCGTTGTCATCCAACGATAAAATTCACACTCAAAATGGAGAAGGAATCTAGTATTCATTTCTTCGAGGTGAACTTATCAAAGAGGACACCAATGGAACTCTGAAGAGATCAATTTACCGAAAGTTCTCACGGAATGGTCAAATGACAAATTTCTACAGCTGGGTACCTACTATTGGTAGGAAACAAAACCTGATCCAGTCGCTTGCCACACGCATTAGGCGCATATGTAGTCCTGATACTGTGGAGGATGAGCTAAATCTATTACGAAGAAATCCTAATAGAAAATTGATTTCCACCACGTTTCATAGACAAAAATTTACAGTCAAATCCTTTGAAATGTGACTTATCATCCGTACCCAAGAAAATACTGTATATGAGCTTAGAATTCAAAGATAACTTGGCTGCCGATATCATCATGAAAAGAAGGATCTCACAGTCCCTGACAAGAACATCCCCTGCTGCATCTTTGAGAATAACCTTTGCCAGTTGCCCATTACTGTTCAATAACTTCCTCTTTAAGGGCGATCACACAGTTACCCAACTCTATGTGCGTTTACCAATTCACCTGCTCGTGTGGAGCTAGGTATATCGATCGTTCGACTCGAGTTTTGTCCAAGGCAGTGCAAGAACACTATCCTGCATGTTAGTTACGAAGAGGTGGAAGTGAAGCAATGAGAAGTGCAGTCATTGAACATCTAGTCGATAATGATCACCCTATCTCTAGAGCCTGCGTCTTTAAATTCATCTACAAGGCGAAAAGTAACTTGTCCAAATCAATAAGTTTCCGACTCATCTGTATTGCTCAAGCAGCTTTGACCATCGAAAGAGAAAAGTCAAATCTCTGCATACAGAAGAAGTCCGTTCAACCCCTCCAACTTTTGTGGCCTTAATCTCTCTATGCCAAAGTATGGAAATCCCTAATCATATTTTGGCTCCACCAATTTTTTCGTTTATTACGTCAATTGTTTCTATTAGTATTCTCACTTTGAACTGCCTCTCTCATTATTTCACTCCTTCCATTTGTCATTCTAAATCAATTCTGTTTTGCAACGTTAAACTCTATGTTATCACATTTCAGACAGAATGTTACGTTACGTTTTTATTTTATCCGATTTGCCCACTAATCTTATAATTGCACACTCCTTCCGAGTTCTATACATCCTATGAATTATTCTACATATATGTGATTAATTATTTTGTTACTGCACTTTTCACTATGATCATAATCACAAACATTTTAATTGCATTTTATACTACTATTATTATTTCATGTACTCACACCTTCGATCCGATTCCGTCACTAACCGGATATAATTTCTTAAAAACAACCACATATATGTATACGTTTGTACAGCTTGATGAAAATAAATTCGTTGTTGAAAAGAGTTTCTTCGCTGACTAAATCACTTTTTTTTGATTTTCTGTATGTTACAATGGGAATTTCCCATGAAGCAATAAAAATAGTGATATGACCACATAAGTGAGGCGGCCATCACATTGTCTTTTACTTAGTTCATTTGAGTATAAAATCAATAGCTAGGTATGTGCCACAGACAGACGACAGACATAGTAACCAGAGAGTCAGAAGCAGATGATCCCCTTAAAGAACTCCACACCGCGAGCTTAATGTGATTTTTTGAGCCACAACACAGCAAAGTCACATCCTGAGTCTTAACTTATATGGTTGCTGGTGAACAATGTTGTCTGGAAGAACGACGACAGCTTCGCAATTACAAAACCACCAACCAGCAAGAATCGGAAAAGCAAGGCAAGCTTTCATTACTCTTAAGTCTCTGTGGAAGTCAACAGCACTCAGAATCAAAAATAAGATCCGGATTTTCAACTCCAATGTAAAGTCAGTGCTTATATACGGATCAGAGACTTGGCCAGTCATAAAGAGCATCTCAAGCAAACTTCAGACCTTCATCAACAGTTGTCTTCGCTCAATACTAAAGATGAGATGGCCAGAAAATATCAGAAACAGGGATCTTTGGCAATGAGCGAACCAACCAGGAACCGATTGTGAAACAAATAGGCAGGAAGAAATGGAGATGGATTGGCCATACTCTGAGGAAACCATCAAGTGACATCACTAGACAAGCCCTCGAGTGGAACCCGAAAGGGAAGCGGGTGGCGAGTTGGTCGTCAGTGTGAGGGTGACTTGGAGGAGGTCAGGCGAGGAGGAGATGAAAGCATGCGGGCAGACTTGGAGCAGGGTGAAAAAGTTGGCAGAAAACAGAAGACAATGGAGGTGCGCAGCTGAAGCCCTATGTTCCTCTAGGAACTAAAGGATATAATAATAATAACCAGCTTCTCAGAGAACACAACATAGATGGCACTGAAATAAAAACCAAGTCGGTAATTAAATATCTTGGCGTCATTCTATCTGCTGATCTTTCCTGGTCGTCTCATATCTTGATGATTTCTAAGAAAATATTCCGTCTTACATTCTACATCAAGAAGTTAAGACATTCTGGAATAACCCAACCCTTACTCCTACAATTCGTTAACTCTCACATCCTGCCTATTATTCTCCATTGTTCCCCCCTTAGTTATTCCAGGGCTGGCTACTGAAGAAAGACTATATCTTATTACGTAGGATGTTAAAGGTTGTCAGTAGGGTAAGCAACGTACCACTTAACCAACCAGCTTGTTAATATTCTGAATCGACAGGCACTTGGACTCATGTGAAAAATGGGCTAAATCCATTCTATCTGTCTAACTCACACCACCCTCTTCATTCACACCTCTTCTTGTATCTCATCAGTCAGACAGACCAGAAGCCTATGTAGAAAACTATATGCTCGCACTAGTAAGTACAAAAACTCAACCATACCCTACTTAGCTCGTGTTCTGTGCGATAAAGAAAGCATTAGTCGTGATACCTATAACTTATTAAATAGTCAGTAGAACAACTGGATCTCGTCTTTCCAACTCATATCATGTATAAGTACGACGTTTTTCTTACTTTCTTTTCCTTTTTTCTCTTCTTTATGTGCTGCTTTGTATCTCTCTTCCTTACAAACTCTATTTAAAACATTCTTCTTCGTTCTTTCACACTCGGTATATCTCGACCCCTTTTGTTACCGCTTACGCCAGTAAATATGCTAGCATCTACTTTTCAAACACCTTCAAACACTGTTCAATTTTGGCTTTGCTATCGACATGCTAATATGTTGTTGTCATAATGAACTGAAATTTCTTTAACCCATGTAGAATCTTAGTTTTTGATAATGTACTAATTGGATGCAGTACTGTAGTGAAATGCTGAGAATTACATTCTGTACCACAAGTACTGTGTTGGAATAAAGCAAATTATTATTATTATTATTTCAATATCATCCACCTGAACTACACATCTTCTGCATTATTTCAGTATGTAGGCATACCACTACTTCCCGTATGATGCCGACACTGTCTAGTTACGTTTCTTTTAGAAATACCTGGGACAGGAAGACCATTAGTTTCGTGCGACGGCAAAGTTCAGGGCACAAGCACACTTGAGGTTGGTTACACACACATTTCAATAACTTTTAATCTCATTATGCACCCTACCAAAAAACCAAAGAAATCCAACTTTTCTTAACTAGAAGCCAGAATTAAGAAATAACTTCAATATAAAAGTCTGTCTGTCTGTTTTCAACATAGAACTTTGCATAGATTTGCAGCATTTCAAGTCGTCACACTCCATGTGGCACAAAAAGCAAGAGAAGAAAGTAGAAGAAATCCAAAATAGAGACAGTAGACTGGGATATGAGACAGAAGGAACAGTAATAACGAAGAAAAATATGGGAATTATAAGTCACAAGGAGTGGATGCATCTGCACCAGCCGTTGAGAACGATTTTGAGCCATATCACCAAATGTCTTCAGCCTTCATTGTTTTTACCGTCCAGAAGACCACAACCAGCCAAGAAGCCTACACCTTCCGACATGGCTGGCTGCCTTAAACTAACTGTTGTGGATTTCATTGACTGATGACGAAGTCATTTTTTGGTTTGATCGCCGCTAACTCTTTTCCAGCCTGACCTTAGGTCAGCTAACATTGCCTGTCGAGGAAGGTGGTGACTAGGCTAGGATAGACATGCGTAACACATGTCCCAACCATCTCAGCCGATGTAAATCCACAGCCTCGTCGATTGGTTTCCACTCCTTACCTAGCACTCGATGCCTAACCTTAATATTGCTAAACTTATTATACCACTTCACACGGGAGATAGAACGCAGACACCTATGACTGAAGATAGCTAATCTTTTCGTGTCTTCCACTCTCAATAGCCAGGTCTCACAGCCATAAAGGAGGACGGAGCGGACTGATGATAGTCGGATATCACGTCTACTAAGTCAGAGATGGCAATGAGAAACTAGCTCTCTGTATCCGTGCTAAGATTTTGTCAGAGATCAACCCGTTGGGACTGGTTGATGGAATTTCCCAAATAAGGGAAGTGGTCAACGTGCTC